AACAATAACCTCCGAGAACATCCACAATAATGTTGTATTGTGTCACCCGATAATCAGGGTATCTCTGTTCAAGCTCCCAGCGCAGTGGCCCATACTTTGCTGTTTTTTCGGCAGCTTCCTCCTTCCTGTTTTCTACCCACGGGCAGCTCATCTCGATCATCGATACTTTCTTGTTCTCTTTGTCCAGGATGGTGGCGTCGATCCTATTCGCCTTTACCTGCGTGCCATCTTAATTATAATAATAATAATGATAATAATGATTATTATTATATTATTACTATTATTATAGTTAGTCGAAATTTTCATGTATTTTTCGATTTTTAAGGATTTTATCTTAATTTTTTTGTAAATATTTTTGATGATTAGAGTGACATATCGTTATCATAGTGTGTATCCTAGTTTTTCTTACACTTTTATTAGACATTTTAATACATTTTTTCGATTTTCAAGCATTTTATCCTAACTTTTGTTACAATTTTTTGTGATTATGGTGAATAAAGGATTATATTTTATTATTATTTTCATTCTTATTATTATTACTGTTATTATAATTATGGTAATTTTTTTCATTATTCTTGACAGTTGAATACAAAATGGTTACGATGCCTGGGTTCTCGTTTGTTCTACTTTACCTGATCCAAGTCACAATCCTCACTTACCAAACCCAAGCAAACGTGATCAGTAGATGCAAAGATCGTGCGAACTGTTGTAAAACCTATGACAATGCCTACACTTCTTTAGCATCACCGCAAAATTACCATAATATTGCACTTGCGTTGTACCCTTCGAGACATCCCTCATCTGTTCTTGTCCAAGTCAACTTGTTCTCAACGAACCAGTCTGACTATCATACCGAAGGAGCTTCGCCCGTGCAGTATACATGGAGTATGTCATGTCTATACGCTGCCATCCCTGCTTGGGTTCTTGAATTCCTATCCCTTGGCGCCATTCTTATCACACCGCGTACACGGGACCTGGACATCACAATTTCACCATTCTGTTGTAATGTGTCGGAGGAGGAGCGAATTGTGATCATCGAGAGAGTTTTGTCAGAGGTAAGTCACAAGATGTTGGAAAATCTTTCCCTGGGTTGAGGTGAGTGACTAGAGGGGTGGTACTTACATCTTTTCGAGGACTGTATGAGGAGAAGTACCTCGTCAGCTTTTTGGTCGAGGTTCGTTGGTTATAGTTGCAGGCTCTCGTTCAGAGGAGACGAGCAAGATAGCATAGGGGCTGA